CGTCTCTTATCGACCTCAATGTCATGTACCAGTCACTGACTCTTAAGGTCATTAGCATGTGTAACACCTGATAAGGGCTGTTCATAACCTAAGTTTTATTTTTCTGAACAAAATTGGTACACTGGGGCAAATGAGACCAAAGTCTATTATTATATAAAAAAGCAGGAAAAAAATCGAAATGTGGTGATTTTTTAAAGCTGTGATACATGTCTTATAATTGGGAGTGCACCCGAACATGTAAGTAGTCGGAAAGGAACAGGAAATTAACATTTATTTACATATAACAGAAAACAGTGAACAAATAGAACTGAAGGCAATTAAATATATTGAAATATACTACACAAAGAAACATTTAACAACCAGAACAATTTGAAGGAACAATTATAACAATATTTATTTATAACAATTATAAATAAATCAAAAAATAAAAACCGGAAAACATCGCATTCTAAATGCGCTCACCACCTAAACGACATACAATTTTTCAAAGAAACACACGTCAAATATTCAGGGTTTGCATGTCAAACAGAACACAACATGATGCTCTTTACAAACGTTATTCCCGCAATTGAAGCATGTTAGTGTGGCTTTGCGATCTTTGCTACTTTTGCAAATTTTGCACAGTCTCCGCTTTTTTGGTCTGTGTGCTTGTGCTGGCCTCTGGAGATGGAGCGGAGGGGGCAATTGCTCTCTCACTCCTTGTCAGTGCTGCAGAGATGGGGAGCTGGGAAATCCGTGGCTTCTGCTCCATTGCAGGCCTCAGCTCCTCTAAAAAGTACCTCCGCCAGTTTCTGGGGGTTTCCCCCAGGAGGGATTTAACTCCCTCCACAGAACAAAGATGTTGTACGCCGATAAGTCCAGCATGTCATAAAAGATAGCCAGGGGCCAGCGAGGAGTTTTTCGCTTGCAGCTGTAGTTGGCCACCCCTGCCTTCGATTTATTATAATGTAATATTATGTCTGGTTTTTTGTCACTTTGGTCACTCACCCGGGCACTTCTGTGGGAGGTGCTCAGGAGGATGACATTTTTATTTTTTTTGGCCATGTAAGACACGACTGTGGTTGTGTCAGTGAATACAAATTTCGATGAATGAACTTGCCTTGATTTACAGTCCAGAATTACAGAGGGCAGCTCTGGCTTATTTTTCCTAATCGTGCCCAGCATGGTTAATTTTTTTTTTTTTTAGCAAGTGCTATCCCAGATCGTAGGAGGTGAAGAAATTGTCTACAGTGACACAGTGACCATGCAAACCTTCTGTCATCTCTAGTACGACTCGGGTGGCTTGCTGAACCTCGGCTCTCTCGGTGGGCTTGCCGGTGTAGACCTGCACCTTCCAGGCGTAGTTGGACGATGCATCGGCGGTCACCCACAGCTTGATGCTGTATTTCCTCGGCTTATTCGGCAAATACTGCCGGAAACTACAGCGACCTACAAGACGACAAAACGAGAATAGAGTGGTACCTCGGTTCTTGGACTTAATCCGTTCCGGACTCCGGATTGAAACCTAAAAAGTTCGAGTTCTGATTGAATTTTTCCCATAAGAAATAATGGAAAACCAATGAATTGGTTCCCGGCCCCCCAAAATTACACCTAAATATGTTTTTATTTTTATTTAATTTTATTTAGCATTTAAACATAAAATGAACAGGATAAAATAAGAAGAGCATGTTTTTCTTAATGGCTTCCAAAACAATAAAGATCTTATCCCAACATTACCCCTGCCCTGCCCCGATCGTCTGCTCCTTCCGTGTGCCACGCCCCCTCGTTATCCTCATGTTGGATTCCCATGTGATCAGCTGGTTCTGGTTGTTGTCATTAGTCCTATATATTTAGTCCGTGTTTCAGTTTGTTTCCCCAGTCCGGTCATTGGGTGCGTTCGACTTGCTTACAGCGCTGGCTTAAAGCAACGCCTCCTGAGCCTGTCACAATGCATTACCGTTAGATGCATTGCGACCTCTCACCCGGCTGCACAAACTGGAACCACCTCCGTGACGACACACCTT